GTGTAATGAAGATAAAGACCCAGTTTACACTGGAAACATTAGTGTTTTATCAATCTTTACTGTGGCCAATCAACAGGATCTAAACAGGTTCATGAATCCACTGAAGATGCCAGGCAGCGCTGCTAGATGGGAAGTGAACTCTCACACAGTGGCTGTAAAGTGATGGTTTGGACCACAGTGAGGTGTGTCGTCAGAGGGGGACACTGTAAGGTGAGGTTTGTGTGTTTCATGTGCACAGACGAGGAGGGGGGCTAAAAATGTTGATTATTGAATTATCTGATGCTGCTCTTCAACCAGATACAATCTGATCTGAGCAACAAAGCAGTTCAATCCAAACTGGTTCAGCTGGACTCAGCAAGGACGACAGTTTGCAGCTCCTCATGTGAGAATCATGTATTGCCACAAAATAAATACTTACAAAATTAAAAATGGTGAGGATACTTGTGATTCTCACTAACAGTTATTGAGAAAAGATTTGTGAACTTTGAACTGCAACAGTGCAGGTGTTTACTGTAAACAACATAGGCTTGTGCCAAATTGTATCAAGTGAGATTAATCATCAGAGCGTCACTGATTAATATCTGGGTGATCTGCAAGGTGTGCAACAGCAGAGTGAAAACAACCACAAAAAACAAAAATAAAATAAAATAAAATAAGAGTACGACGACAGCCACAAGAAGTGGACCCAGGCCACAGTCAGCTATAAAACAACTGTTCAGCTACCCAACATTCAGACAACAAGCCTCTGTGGACCCCCGTCTGTCTGTCATAGCAGGAGGTGAAGTGTGTGTGTGTGTGTGTGTGGGGGGGGGGGGGGGGGGGGGGGGGGGGGGGGGTCATCAGACATTTAAGTGACAATATTTAACACTAAGAACACTCCTTATACAACATTAGCTAAACAGTGTGTAGAACTTGGGAAAACAACTTTTTTGTGTATTTAACAGTACAGGGACAGCAAAATGTGAAAACCCAAACAGATGACATCATCACCAAGACAAGAGGAAACAAAGATAACGTTAACTCAGCACTTCAATAAACTCCCCCACATGAGAGAAATGATCCACTCAACATCAGAGACAAGAGAAAAGAGAAATAACTACACCTGCTCTTCATCATCTGAGTCATATTTATAGTAACAATAATGAAATTTAGTGGGGAYGCACCACATGTCAGCATCAACATCAGTATTGGCCGATGTTGGTCATTTTATAGTATCGGTCCGATAAGACAAACTGGGCTGATGTCAACATCTGATATTGATTTCCCACTTGTTGTTGTTTGTGTTTGTGGAGGGGAGGTGTTTGGTTGAGTGGTGTTTGATCGTGATAGTGATGCTGTGCAGGAATCACTGAAGTACAGAGTCATGTCTGCGGTCTGGTCGTTGGTTTACCGTACTGAAAAAAGACACGTGTTTGTGTGGATAATTTGTACATAAATAATTTGTGTGTTTGTGTAATATCAGTTATCAACTATAACACCAATAAATGTTCGTATCGGAGCATCCCTACATTTAGGTTCATCTGTGAAGCTCTTCTTTAAAAAATAGTTTTTTGTTTTCACATGAAAACCATAGCAGTGTACAAAAATATTGATACACTGAAATATACTTCATTTCCTGATACTGTTTAAATTCTCAAAATCTCTTTTTAATTAAGGCTTAATGAATAGATGTAAGAAGAAATGTGAAATACAAGTGTTCTTCTGACTGCATAGCAAAAAACTAAATTTAATCAGATTTTATTAATGTAATGCATGCTGTACATTTTATAATGAGCTTTTAAAATTAGAATTAKTGCTGGGCGGTATGACCAAAGTTTTATATAACGGTATTTTACACATTTACACCGGTTTCATGGTTTATCACGTATTTTTCTTTTCATCAAAGGTCAGCTGATAATAAAATATACAAACATTGCTTATTAACCTTTTTTTTTACTGTACGTCTGTCTGTGTCACTGTTTCCCTCCTCTTTGTGTCTTTTCYCTGACTGGTGGTTGGAGACAGTAGTCATGCATTTTGGTCCAGTCATGAAGGAGGAGGGTTAAGAAAAGATTATGATCGGGTCTGTTGTTTTATGTTATTTAATAAAGATTAACAAGACAACTCACCCTGCACACAAGTCAACTCAACTCCACTACAAAACTACTTCCCCTGGGTTTTTCAAAATAGAACCACGTTAAGTCTCCATCAGCATAACGTCTCCATATTAACTAACCGTGTTAAATCTAACCATGCACGTCACTGAAGAGGTGTTTACTACATTCAGCGATGGCGAAAATGGGATTTTTTTTATGTCAGTCAATAGAAGCAGCTGAATTGGCACCCGCCGCTGCAACAAGCTGCTCAACAATAACATTAGCATGCTAACGCACATAGCAGTGCTGCAAAGAAAAGTGTCCCCCGGGAAACAGTTCACTGGCGGCCACGATGAAGCGTTCCGAACGTGTTCAGGCTATTTAAACCGGTATGTCGGTATTCAGAAAATTTATATCATAACAAAAATAAAAAACGGTATTCGGTACGAACCGGTATACCGCCCAGCACTAATTAGAATCTTTTGAAAATTCAAAATATCAGCTTATTAACAGCAGGACAAGATACAGTGATATATCATATTGTAACTGATGTGTTGTGATTTGTATCATATCACTAATTTATTAGCAATACAAAGCTCTGGAAAAGTAATGAAATATTTTACAACTGGGCATTGTCAAAATTCATTAAACAAATTTCTCATATAATTCCTGAAAATGTATTTATCCATCAAAGGACATGTGACAAAAGTTACACAATAAAACAGAAAATTCAGAAAGATGAAAACAAAACAAAACAAAACTGCTCAATAGAAGTTCAGGATATTTGGTTTTGTTGATAAAGGTTTTGTTTTTCTGGTCTCATGAAGTCAAAACGTGTGTTTAAAAACACATTCTAATTGAAACAGGAAATTTATTGATCCAGTCATGGATCAAACACTTGTGAATGTTACCCTTAAGCTATTTATATATAAAAGTGTGTGTTGTGCAGAAACTACTGAAACAATGAAGACTTGGACATGTCCACTAACCGTTTACAGAAGGTCAGACTAAGTTCACCTGGAAAAGGTTTTACTTCATGTTARATTCATCCTGACATTTGACCTGAAAGCCAAATTTCCTGTCATTTTGGTGAGTAGTGTATGTTACGGTTTATAAAGTGATAAATTATGGAGACTGTTTGATGAGGGAGGCTTTGCTGCATTCAGACTAGCCATTAGCTCCTCAGTCTTGTTAGACACACATCCATAACAGGTAAGATATTATTTATAACCTTTACTCAGAACCCCACATCAATGACTAAACTTTTATTTAAATAGGCAACTTGCACATCAAGTAGGGTTGGGCGATATTGGCAAAAAAAATTAATCACGATTAATTGTGGTATTTAGCCGATAACGATTAATTTGACGATTAATCCCCTGGAGTCCCTGGACACCCTTATGTATAGTCACATGACCAATTTAGTGGAAAATATTTGCTCTTCATAAAAATCTGTTCCAAATTGTGTCAAAATTACAGACTTCAGGCTGTACATCAAATTTTAAATTGTGTTGATAAATAAAATTACAGAAATTTTTTTTTTAAATGTTCATCATATTTGAAGCGGAGAGGAGCACCAAGCGGACCAACCAGGGAAATATCCAGTCAGTCTGCCTGGTGGCATTAATCATATTAATTGTCAAGTGCCAAAAAGTAATCGATTAATGTTTTTCTGATGATTAATTGCACACGATACGATTATGCACAACCCTAACATCAAGTCAATATATTTTGATTTTGTAAAATACAAAAATATACACTAATTACAAAAAAAAGTTTACAAAAGAATATGCCCAGTAAAATGCAGCATCAAAAGAAAAGCAAGCAGAATACAATAATGAGTGATTATACAGCATATTGTAGTGCAGAGCAGCATTTAATCATCATGACCTAAATACTCTGCAGAGCTCTGAATACTGAGATCAGCTGCAACCAGCATGAAACACTTTAACAACTAACCTGTAACACTGGGGTCAGCATTASGAGCTAAAACTGATTCAAGTTTGGTCTCACATGAATCCACTTAATGTTTTTAATCCAATTCATTTCAAGCTATAAAATCAAATGATATAGGCTGAAAGCTAAAACTCCTCAACACAGGCTTGTGTTATTAATGTAAAACAATACAACGCTGTAAGTTTATTTCTCGCGTTATTTCTAATTTCACGTTGTACGAGACGAGACAAAACTCAGAGGTTTATTTATTTTAAATGTGAACAAACTTATATCTTCAGGCGCGTCACGTGACGAGCTACATTTATCTTTAAAGTCAGCAGCGATAATAATGTGACAGCTGAAATGATACAGCGGGGGGGATCATGAAATCAAGCCCCCGGCGAAGCTAACAGAGCTAGCTTCGCTACTTTACAGCTCAGCAGCTAATGCTAACAGCAGAGTTCCCTCGAAAAGCAAACCCACAGGCTGTTTATCTGCACCTCACCGAAAACACCGAGGCTTTTATCAGCCGCAACTCCAAGTGAAACATGTGAGGCACAATATCCACTTTGTGGCACCAGTTTCATTTTATTTTTAAACTTTCAGAAGCGGTTCCGCAGCCTGGAAAACAGCCTGTTTCTGTTGAGGTGATATATCGACTTGTTAAAGTTGAATAAAAAAATACAAACAGCTTCATTTTGTTCGAGCAACACGTAGAATCAGCTGTGGGTGCATTAAGTCAAAGGGTTTGTTAATTTACTTGGTCAAAATGCAGTTTAAAGACTGTGACGTTGAAAGAAACTAAACTTGACGCACACGGCACCGTGCCGCTTGGACAGCTAGCTAGTTAGCGGCTAACCTCAGACAGCTAGCGGCTAGCTAGCCACGTTCGTGCAGGAGACGAACAATCAGATTGTGTGTGCGCGAGCGTGTGTACATGTACGGGGAGGTGGGGAGGGGGGTCACAAAGATATATAAAGCATTTCTTACCTCCCACTCGGTACATGTTGGCCGCCATCCTCCCGTAACCTTTATCTAAACCGGTCCCAGGCTTATTCCCGCGCGGGTAAAATGATATCGACCGCGATCTGTTTTATTCCTTCATTTATCTTGGACACCCCCGCCGCGAAACAAAGCCGGCTTCGGGCACGAGCCGAGCTGCTGTGGCGGGTAAAAAAAAAGTTAAAAGTTTCCGTTAGTGATATCCAGGAGCTCGTGCCGTCAAATAATGTAATCCTTTTATTCTTTTCCGGCCCCTCGGACGACCTTCTTCTCCTCTTCCTCACTCACTCATTCACACACAGCTAGCCTGTCTCTTACTCCACTCTTCCTCCCATCCTCCGCTCCAAGCTTCATCCTCCTCTTCTTCACCTCCGCTCAGTTCAGCGCRCACACACACACACGCGCGCGCGCAGTTTCTCTTCGTGTGAKCGCCGATCGTCATCTTCGGCAATTGTCGATAATCTCCGGTGAACTTTTCCTCAGACACTCAGAACCTAATCTTCATCAGTCTGGGAGAAAGTACCACAGAGTGACAGTATAACTACAAGTATCTTACCGAAAATTACTTTGGTAAAACTCTGAGTATTACTTGAGTAAAAGTACAGTATCTTACCAAAACATTACTTTGGTAAAAGTTAAAGTCTCCTTTAGGAATATTACTTGAGTAAAAGTCTTAAAGTATCTGACATTTTTTGTRCTTAAGTATTAAAAGTAAAAGTATTGATTTAAAATGAGCAGTTAGATTTTCTGTAAKGACATTTATTAGGAGGTGACYTCCCCAAAACAGCAGAAATGACTGTTGTATTAAAAATAATTAATTAATGTTAAATTTAGGATGCACYAGTCTAGCTGTTTCAGTTTATATACAAATATCAAGGCTGCACAAACCTTTTCCCCAAAATGAAAATCTATCTGAGGGCTGCAGCCAAATGCAATAATATAATTCATGAAATACAAATACCTCCTCTACTTTTAAATACAGTATCAGAATTTTATATACATCTCATTCAACCNGTACAAACTAGTACAATCAGAGTTTTATATATTTATACTTCTCATTCAACCACAGTTAAATTCACTCCATCTAAAAAAGCACTCTTTATATGGATAGTATTTATTTTTTTACAATAATAAGCTGGAATGAAAACAAGCAAAAATGAAATAAAAGTAACGACATTCTACTTCTTGCCTTTTTATTTTTCATTTATTTAGAAATTTATTAATTTCTTTTGTAACAATTAAATACACAACAAAGAACAAAAACATGCAATCAAAATAAAATCAAAAAGGCAGCAGAAGAAGAATAAATCTAATATATGCTCCTTTTTATCCCCAGAATACAGTGTGTTCAAAATGAAAGTAAACTACAACAAAAATCAAAACAACTGAAACACACAAAAAGCAAAGCTAAACTTAACTTTTTAAAACTGTAAGTAGAAAGTACAGATAATTGTATAAAATATAAGGAGTAAAAGTAAAAAGTAGGCTGAAAAATGATTACTCAAGTAAAGTACAGATATCCAATAATTCTACTTAAGTACAGTAATAAAATATTTGTACTTACTTCACAACTCTGCCTTTCATCATCTTCATCGGTTGAGTTCACGTCAGTGTCAGCTCATRGTTCTAACTTTATCAAAAGGCTGTTTTTATAAACAAATAAAATGTGAAATTCACCAGGTTTATTATTGTTTAATAAAAACAAACAGGATACGTGACATTGTTTCTCACCTTTTTCTGAGAAACTCTGAATATCATTTCAGAGTGTTTTAAAGAATAAATGATTTTAATATTCTAACACAGGGGTCCCCAAACTTTTCCCTGTAAGGGCCACAGAACTTTTCCCTTCTCTGGTGGGGGGCCGGAGTCAGTTTGTAACAGAAAAAGTGTGACTATTGCAGGAGTGCCTAAATGTAAAAATGTATTGTTTTCCAGAAAGCACAATCAAATAACCCTCTCTGGGTTCTTCACAGTATGTATTCTGCTGAGCTAACAGTCCACTTTTTAGCTTTGAAAGTTTGTTTGCTCGCATTTGGCCTTGCAAGCCATCATACTTGTCTTTGTGACGGGATTCATAGTGTCGCCGCAGATTGTATTCTTTGAATACCGCCACCGCCTCTTGACAGATGAACAAAAAATAATCATTTGTCCACTGCAGCTTAAATGCCCTGCATTCTGGATCAGTTTTTCTCTTACCTAATCTTTTCACCATTATTCCGTTCTCTCTTTGAGAGGGGCGGGTTTAGGDTTTTTTTCTGGGGGTTGCCAGATAGGGGCACAGACCACAGAAGGGGGGAACAGAATGTCACGTTATATGTGTTTATGTATGAAATAGTTACTAACTAATAATAGTTAATAATGAAAATAGTTCATAACTAAGGAACATTTTATTGCAAAAGTCCAACTTTATAATCAAATATAAATACACATATATGAAAAAAAGAAACCTAAATGCTCTCTGGTATTGTTCTGGGGGCCAGACCAAATGGGGAGGCAGGCCGGATGTGGCCCGCGGGCCGTAGTTTGGGGACCACTGTTCTAACAGCTCATGTGTATTCTGAAAAAGGTAAGGTTTACTTTGTTAGTCAAATATCTCATGAACTGGACAGATTTTAATTAAACTTGCAGTAAGAAATCACTGTATGTTAATTTTAGAGTCAACTACACAAATAAAAAAATAAAAATGTCTTTAATCAGTTTTAGTAATTGACAACATTTAGAGTGGTAGTAGCTGAGGCTGATCAATACTCTGAGCTCTAACAGACTGTCTTTGTTTCATCTTTGACCATTCACCATTTCACTCTGTTTTCCTGTCAGCAAAATATCTCATGAACCACCTGATGAATTTGAAGCAAAGTCAAACAGTAGTCATCCCAGCTGTGATCAGCTAACAGAGACAGCCCCATTTCAAATGATCATGCAGCAGCCAGCACACACTGGCTCAGCTTCAGACACTTTAGTTAAATCTGCTCTGGTAGTAGCTGACACTCATGCTCTCACATACACTGCAGACAAAAGCTGGTTTAAAAATGAAACTAGTGCAGCAGCAGCAGCACTCAGGTCACTGTGCACCACTGCCCCCTGCTGGCCGTCCACACACAGCACACCTGCTGCTCTCAGCATGGACGGCTGTGTCTGCATGTGTGTCTGTTAGACAGATTTTAATGAAACTCTCAGAAAGGAATCACTGGATATACATAAACAACTCATTAACGTCTGAAGTCATCTTGATTCAGGATAACTGACACAACCAAGTGAGCTTAGAAAAGACAAAAATGCTTGTATTTCAGTCAGTTTTAGAAACGTTGGCATGGTCTTGACCAAGAATCTTACCTGACCTTTAGCTCTAAATATTTCCAACCACTGGACAGAGTTTAATAACTTTCATTAAGTCATAGCTGACAGCACATCTGCTACTGATGAACCTTTGGAGTCAATCCATCTCAAGCTGACTGCAGCAGTCAATTGTCTTAAACACAAACACTGAAATAATTCAGTAGATTTTACAGATGTGGAGTTCAGGTTTGATGTGGTAGCAGCTGAGATTCATTCACAACACATACAGTAAGTGTGATATTTTGCATGACAGATCAGTGGTTCCCAACCTTTTTAGACTTGTGTACCCCATGAGCCATGTTGTCATAACACTAGTGCCCCCTCTGTCAAATGTAACGATGATTCTCCAAAACTATAATGTACTACAGCTGATTATTAAATTAAAATTATTTATTTAACCCCCTAGAATGTTTAATTCTCAGGCATTTTATTCTTTTCAACTCTAACGAAACATAAAGATGAAAACGTTGCCTTGAAAGTGAATAAGTAATTAATTAAATAAACCAGGTAATGGCAGGTGCAGAAAACAGCAGCGTCCAAAATACTGTATGTCAGAAACTCACCCAAATGAGCAAATTCCAAGATATTCCACATTTTATACAGGATTACAATTTGTTTTAATTCTGTGATCCCATCAGCAATTTCTGCATTGCAGAAATCCAAGGGAACTACATAACTCAGTCCTATTTTTACATATTTTTTACACACCTGGGAAGTATTTCCATGTACCCTCTGTAATATGCTCACATACCCCTGGTTGGGAATCACTGACATAGATCACACAGCATTATTTAAAACATGATTGTCTCATATAAGACTGAAATAAAAGGCAGCAGACGATATCCATTCCTTCCAGGAACGCTGCATCTTTTATTAAAATGTAATATTGACAAGTACAAAACATACCAACTAGTTAACAGTCTTTAGAAAAAAAGTCATAATTTGCAGTAAACAGATCTATTGTTACAAAACTGAATTAGTAAAAAATTCTCAGTTTATTTTGAGGAGTTGTCACAGTCTTTTAATGTATGCACAAAGATCCTAACTTTTACTAATAAAGCATAAAAGTATGCAAGAAGATGTGAAGAGGAACCACGTCAGGGTTAGGTTAGGTGAAACAACAACAGTCATGTTGTCCACAGCTGAACGTGATGCTCCTCCTGTTCCTCACCAGAGACGGAGGACATCAGAGACAGGTCCACCACGGTCCACAGTGCTCCTGTGTGACAGTAATGTGTGTTTGCTCTCCTGTTAGAGACAACACTGTCAGCCTGTAACAGGCCTCTGCCTCAGCAGCTGAACCAGCAACCCCCTATAATCACTGTACCAGACACTGCCCACAGCTAGCTGGCCACAGGCTCAGGGGAGCTGGTGGAAGTGGACGAGAGCGAGGCCATTCTCTCCCTGCCGTCCCCCGCTCCTCCACTGGTCACCCTCCACTGAAGGATGCAGGTGTCCTTCCCCCCCATGGAGAGGAGGTGGGAGTCGTTGTGGGTGAAGCRGACGTTGGTGACATGGCTGCCGTGACCCTCGTACTTGTGGTTTGGTGCCTGGAGACGAAAAGGCATGATGTAGACTCAGTCACGCTTAAAGAGGACGGTTCATCGTTAAGTAATCCCAGAACCAGAAGTGTAAATCCTACCTGTCTATAACAACAACCTGTTCTACCTGCAGGGTCTTAGATTGTTGAGCAACTAGCAGCTAATCAAACCACAGGTGACTTCAATACTGGCTCACTTTCTTTAYAGCTCATCAGTGTGCACTATTGTGATTCGTTTACCATCCAAGTCATCTCAACTTTGCCATGCTTCTCCTCCTGCATACTTTGTCCTAGAGCTGCCATTGTAATTTATATCTGTAAAGCCCCTGTGTCAAATGATGGCTATGCCTTTTGGTGCCTGTAAAACTTATAGTTTTTGAAATATTAATGTTTAATAAATTATAATGACAGTCAATGGAGCCTTGTATTGGTCCAATACTGCCCCCTGCTGCCTCTACACAATATGGTACTGCACCATAGTTTTATAATATTTAAACTCAGTAGTTCAGTGATTACAATATTAATGATTGTACTTTGATATTTTACTGTAATACTGTCTTTATGTTGTCCTATTGTTGTAATATATTGCACTTAAGTGTCAATAATTGCATTGGCAAGGTAAACTTTTTCTGTATACATACAATCCAATCCCTGGGATTGTCCTCTGCCACATCTCCTATAGTCTCATGATGAGCACTGTGGGCTTTCATGCGGGAGATCAGGGTTCAAACCCAGTTACTGCAACTTTAACAAAAAATCTCTTCAAATTTCATATTGTCACACAATTACCTTAATTAAAAACACCTGCTGACGTGACAGTTTAGAAAACATATTTGATCCTGGACAAAGCTCGTTCTGCAAGTCCAATGCTGCAGGCAAAGCTATGCTGCAATGACATGCTACATGGCAATGCACACTTGTTTTTACATCGTAAAAACCCATGTCTAGTTCAGTTTGGTTTTAGAAACAGTCTAAAACATCCAGCTGACACCTTGTTGACAACATTAAACTCTTATTAGATGCAGGTGGTGTTGTTGAAGCTGTTTTTTCTTCACTTTAATAAAACATTTGACACTTTTAATCACAACTTTCTTAAACTGTCAACAGGTGCTCCACAAGGATCCAACCTTGGACCATGACTGTTCATATATGCAGATAATATAATCATTTATATACATAACAATAATCTGACAGAAGGTGGGAACTAATTAATGATAATTGATTATACAGATTTTATTTGAAAGTTTTATTGCTGTAATTTGGGATTGATTGTATGATGATAATTGTGTAAAGTAAAACTTTTGTCTGTTTTTGTTACAGAAGATGTGYTGTTGGTGTAACATTTGATGCTCCACAGCAGTGGGGTGTGTTGTGTTGACTTCATCTGATATTTGGATGGAAAAACTCTAACCTTCTGTCTGTTAAATGTCAGTAACAGGAGGTGTGCTGAGTGTAAATATTACTGAAGTCAGAAGTAAATCTGGGCTTTGGAATGATTTGCTGTTAAAATGGATTCTGGCTGATCTGGAGAACAATATATTTAGTCTTTAATAAATATGATTATCATGCAGCCATATGTACCTGCAATGAAAACCTCGGGCACTAACTAGAGCTGTTTCTGAACTGAGTGTGGAYTAAAGAAATGATTACCTTGAGTTTAGGACAGGGGTACTGGAAGAGGTGGACCTTACAGAAGTCATCAGCCACAGCTACAAGCCTCTCATTGTGGGAGCGGCACAGAGCGTTGATGTCTGTCCCATCAGAACCCTCCAACCACACGCCTAAAAATCACCAGAACCAGCCRTCAATCTGACCTGATCCAACAGCACCGTGAAGTGTCTGCTAACGGTCAAAGAGACAACACATGCAGGGAACCATGCTTGGTGCTCCTCACCCATGACGTGGAAGCCCAACACACAAGTGTAGGAGGCCCATTCTCTGTCTCTGCTTTCAAAACGGTTCCTCAGCAGCTTACAGCCATCTCCAATCTCCCCTGTTCAAAYGTCAAGAAGGAACAGTTCATCATACTGTCAACAATATAAAAACAAGATGTACCAGATTTGTGAAAGGGATTGAACTCTTGTTCATGTGTGCTGTCACATTTATTTACAATTTAGAATCTCATTTTATTTTACACAAGCTCATTGACAGGCACACTGAGTTTTGTGGGCCTCTCATAGATAATCTACATAACAGGACACGCTGGTATATACCATAAAACCACATTCATTACATCAAATTTGTTTATAACCACTCGAAATAAGCAGCTTATGACATGCCCACTTCAGAAGATGTGGTACGAGTGCTACGCCATATTGTGAGGGGCGGGCTGTCAATGTAAAGGATTTCTGCATAGAATTGCATATAAATATCAGATTTTGTTTGATTTTTCAATTCTTCAGTATATTAAAAGGAAAAAAAATTGTATAGGTCCTCTGGACGGGTTCTTCTTTAATGAAACGTTTCGTCTCTCCTCCAAGAC